AAAAAAAGAAAACAATTGTTGGCCGGCTAATGCATATTTTTTTAATTTCATTAGAATGTTTTTACTTGAAACAAGTAAATGTTTTTGAGCCTGGACAATAAACTTTTTGTATAAAACTTTACACAAGAAGAAAATTTCAGGGCCAGTTTTATTCTTTGCTGAAATTTCGTACAAGAAGGAAATTTCAGTGCGAGGCTAATTAGAAGATCCAGCACTTCAATCTGCAGCCCTGAATTCTCCAAAGTTTTTCATCACCGCCGAGCCATGAACCTAAACTGAAACTCTGAAAGTGCGTAGACAGAGGCACTTACAACGACTAGTATTACTGCATGCACACGGTTACACGTGTTGAACTAAATACCAGCATGGAGTGATGTTCGTCCAGTAGAAACCGGAATGGCACGCACGTTCTTCCAGTAGCCGGCGCCTAGCCGTGGACCTATAATGGAGACAACATCAACCGAGCAAATCAGGGGGACAAAAAGCAAATCTCTGGGTTTTCTCTATGATATGTGCAGCTGCCCGAGAAGATGAAAAGAAAGGTCTCCCAAAAGCAGATGCAAAGGTTGGGGATTAGATGGACGAAGCATCACGTTGATCGAGCTTCCGTTTATACCACCCTTCTCCTTTCCCAGTGATCAACTAGTTCAGTGGGCACAGTTAAAAGAAGACGAGATTCTGAACTTTACCACCAACTCGAGTACCCGATGATGATCGGACCAGTTAAAGAACAACTGCGTGCAATCAAAGGAACAGCGTGTGGTTTCTTTGACAAGGATTGTGTGTCATCTCTGATGAACAGAAGAGAACCGGTGAGCTGAGAATGGTAACAGAGCAGTGGTGCAGACGCTCACAACACAACACGTACGCCGATCAATCATCGACGGTACATATTCTCCCGGCAGTGCGTCTAACTGTAGGTAGCATCTTTGTCACAAAGAGAAAGGAAATACTTTACCAGACGAATAAGAATTGTGCGCCTAACTGCACGAGATGAAAAACAATCCATTTTCCTATCACAAAATCTCATCATGGGCAAGGCTAATTATAAGCCATCATGAAGGCGCCCCACACGAAGAATTCCTCGAGCTCCTTTGCATCTCTCACCTCCCTACTCACCCTGCCTTTCCTCTCACTTTTGCCGCCACCTTTGGCTTAATCTATTGCTCCTTGTCTCGTTTCCCTGACCCTGCATTGCAAAGCTCCAACGCTGGTTTCCCCGATGGTGCTTATCGGCGGATGCAGATGCTTTGCACTGACTGAACTGTACTTGAGCTACTGAGGCAGCAGCAGAGCAGCTAAGCTAGCTCACTCCACACTTGATAAGCTGCTTTTTTCTCTCTGTCTCCAAGTGGTGTGGCTGTGCAAGGTTGTGCCGGCGGCATGGGTATTGGGCCAGTTCATCATTGCTTGGCCTCTCTTCTTGTCCTGCTTCCTCTCCTCTGCTGCCACGGTGAGCTTCTCAGCTCGACTACTCTCTCAAGTCTCCATTTATACATGCGTTCGTCTGTCAGTTGGTTATGTTTGGTTGTTGGAGCTCACCAAGAGTGCCAGTAGTTGGAGCTGACGAACAAACCACCAGAGTGTCGGGTCATAGCAACAGACAAACGGATGCTTTCTGTCGAGAAATCTAGTTGAACTCTCAGAACAAAACTCTGCTTTTGCTCGCTTAATGATGTAATAATGATGATCGGACCAAGAATTTCGTGCGGCTGCTCGTGCTGATTTCAGTTTGTTTGATTGGTTCGTGCAGCAGTGAGAGGCGTCGAGCAGAGAGCGCACACCGGCGCCGCGTCGCGCCCCCAGGCCGCCACGGTGAGGCTGGAGCGCGCGCGTGACATGCCGGAGCTGGACGTGACGACGCCGCTGGCGACGGTCCCGCTGGCGAACCCGACGCCGATGCCGGAGGCGACCGCCGCGCCGACGCTGGCGCACCCAACGGCCGCGGCTGGCGCGGGGAGCTGGTGCGTGGCGAGCCCGAGCGCGGGCGCGGCGGCGCTGCAGGTGGCGCTGGACTACGCGTGCGGGCAGGGCGCGGACTGCTCGCCAATCCAGCCCGGCGGGAGCTGCGCCGACCCGGACACCGTCCGCGACCACGCCTCCTACGCCTTCAACTCCTACTACCAGAAGAACCCCGTCCAGACCAGCTGCGACTTCGCCGGCGCCGCCATCCTCACCAGCACCGATCCCAGCACCACCTCTTGCAAGTACCCATCCACTAGGTTGGTAACCATCAATTCCTAACTAAGCATGGTGCATGCAGACCCATAATTTCTTCCGTTTTCTTCGGCTGATCGATGCAACGAACGGCGTGCAGCACCGGTGCTTCCGTCCTGAACACGACGTCTCCGGTGACCCCGGTGAACCCGACGTACGGATCCCCTCCCGGCGGCTCCTACAACTCTCCTCCTGGTCCTGGCGGCTACTACAACTCCCCTCCTATCTACGGGTCCATGTCGCCTCCGGACTACGGCGGCAGCATCAGCGCCGCCACGGCGGTGATGCCCGGCAGCAAGAGCACGACGGCCGCCACGTCCCTGACGTGCCTCCTCGTCGTCGCAACGGTGTCTCTCAACCTGTGCAAGTAAGAAGCGAAGTACGCAGGCTTGTAATTCGCGCGCAAATGCACTTGGAGGCTGAAGTGGGCCGAAGAGGATTCAGATGAACAGGCACCAAATGCATCTAGAAAACAGAGGAGGCGCCATGACAGAAGCAGAGTAGCAATGGGCACCGGGCAGGCTGGCCCCTAGTCAGTCAGTGTTGCAAATGTTTGTAGTTGCAGTCAGTGTCAGCGAGTTTTGGCGTGTGCTTGAGGTGGGGTGTTTGTACTTACATGCCATATTTCTCCGTTGTGGTCTGGAGGAGAGAATATAATACCATCTTGTACAAGGGCATCTTCATGCTGAGCTCAAAATGCAGAAACCGGTCATCCAATGCTCCCCACATACATTTCAAATAAGGTTTAAATAAAGAGACGTAATTCATACACACCCAATGGATTTTCATGTAAACCAAAACACATTCATTACCATTCGGACATTTTATTATGAAAAGGAGCAGCCGGACCTAAACCTATCCTACGACGGCACCCGTAGTCCACTTTCTTGGTATTCTGCATCAGTAACCACGTCATGCATCTATTGTCTTCATGAGTGCCGGATGGGGTTAAGACCCGTGAAGTGAAGGTGCAGTTTCCGGCAAGGAAGAATAGGACGTGAGAGACAGACCAGCCCACTTGGCACACAAGGCCCTGCCACCTCCCATGCGCTACTCATCCTCAAAGGAGTCAGCGACATGTCCGTCGTTGGTGTCATTGGATGTAAGGTCGACGATGGACGTGGACGGTCCGTCACCGTCTACCTGCCACATGCACCCCCAAAAGTTAGACAGCGACACGTAGGACGCGCAACTTCTGGCATTCTCGTCCTCGACCGCCTGTACCGCGAGCGTGTGTGCTGCCACATCCGTGTCCGGCTTTGCCGCCTTTGCGCTGCGAGCGGCGTGTTGAGCATGCGCGACCTCGTAGAACGTCCGCTCAATTTGGGTTCGCCGCGATCATGGCGGCCACGGCCTCCTTGCTTGCGCGATCGCCTTAAATTTGGCCCTCCGCCAATCGGTGCTGCTTGAGAAGGAATATGTTGTACCGTTGCTCCTCCTGTGCCTTCTGAAACGCCGACACAGGAGCCGGCAGGCTGCTCGTCCTCTGCCATGGCGGCAAAGAAGTACAGACACCAAGGACACAGCGAGAGCTGCACTCTCGGCCGGCGCGTCGCTTCAATGCCGGCACCAGCAAGATGTCGCGTCCGCTCTAGGTCAACGTCAATGCGGCATCGGGCGGGAATGCGTGCAAGGGAGATGGATATTTGGTGGATCAGGTGGGTCAGGAGCGAGCATGGCAGCGGTGCAAAGCCCTCCTCCAACATCAGGGCCGCCACGGCGATGCTGCTGGGCAGCAAGAGCACGACGGCCGCCACATGACTGACGTGCGTCCTCGTCGTCGCAACGGTGTCTCCTAGCATGTGCAAGTAGGAAGCCAAGTTTGCAGGGATATAATTCGCGCGCAAGTACATTCGGGGTCTCAAGTGACTGAAAATGATTCAGATAAACAAGCACCAAATGCATCTAGAAATCAGAGGAGGCGCCTTGGCAAAAGCAGAGTGGCAATGGCCACCGGGCAGGCTGTGGCTGGTACTGTCAGTCAGTGTTGCAAATATTTATAGTCGTATAGTCGGTGTCAGCGAGTGTTGGTGTATGTTTCAGGTGGAATATTTGCACTGGCATGAAATATTTCTCCATTCTGGAGGAGAAAAATGTATCTAGTATAAACCCTTTTTTGCATGGACATGTCTCATTTATTTATATAATAAAGATCATAGCACAAGTCACGTAGGCATGAACATGGCAAAAGTGAAAAAGAACATTAGCCTTCGCATAAAGGAACACCAGATAAGCATAAGAAATGCAATCAAGAGTGAAAAATCCCCTGAGCTTGGCACGAACTCTCGCCACCTGCATCCGGCACCACCATAGCAGTCATCAAAGGAAAAAAACGGATCACCTCCTCACCTGAGCTCGACGCCGCTCCATCGCTGATTTGCAACTTTGCGGGCCTTCAAGGTGGCTCACGAAAGGTGAAGCCATTACCGTTGAGCAAATCAGACCGGAGCAACAAACTAGACAGACCATCGAACTCTAAATCTGACACCCCACACAATTAAGACATCGAAAGAGGGAACCATACAATGCATGCCATGAACCCAACACACAATCCACCATGTTCCAGATGTCACCGATGCATACCATAATCTGCATCTGCTCCTGGGCTACCTTCCAAGCTTTGCGTCGGCGCTGGAGCAAATGTCGTCGCAACGGCAGAACCCAAGGACAAAGTCCACCAAGAGGATGTTGTCGCCGCCACGCCATCCTTACTTGAACATATTATTTTCAAATTCAACCCCAACACGTATCGGAAGGATATGAAGATTCTTTATTCAACGCAGCCGTCGCCATCACTGAAGCCAAGACGATGAACAACCCAAAAACCTAAACTACTAGTAATTCCTAAAACGATCCACACGCATGAATCCAGAGACCCCTTTCACGACCCACAACCAAGGTCGTCAACGGAGGGGAGCCGCCAGAGAATAGCGGCTGGAGGCGAGACCGCCTTTCTTTCTTCCGGAAAGAAAACGATGCTTGGTTGGCAGCCTATAAACCCAAATTCTTTGGGCGTCTCGTGTTAGAGAAACTCTAACACAATCGCCATATCCGAAGCGTCCAACCCGAGTATGGAGTGCACTTAAGGTGACGCGCAAATCCATTGTCATTATAACACAATCTCCATATTTATTTCTCATTTTTCATTTTTTTTGGCTTTCGTCCGGAATTTCTAATTCTAAATGGAGGCAATCAAACAAGGACTAAAACTTAATCAAGAGCAAAGAACGTATTAATACTTAAATCATCTTAAAATAGGACCAATAGTAGCCTCATTTACATATAATTGTGACTTAAAATGTTAGTAAGCGACATTTCCAAGTTATAAAAAAAGCAGGTGATGTTGCTATTCGACGTTGCCAGCTATCTAGTAGTCGAGGTCGTCTATTCCTCGTCCTCGTCGAGGCCATCAAGGTCGCCGTTGGAGGCGAGCGGCTTGCGAGCGGTTGAGCTCACGTTGCCGCTTCTCCTCCAGCTTGTCGTCGGGGAGGGAGGAGGTGAAGCCCTGGCAGCGGGCGGAGAGCTCCAATATGACCCAAATTGGGTCCTCAGGCTCGGCATAAATGGGGACAGGGAGGATGGAGTGAGTGGGAGGGTGAAGGCATCCTCTTCATTAGAGGGGGAGTGCCAACACTCGCGTCGGAAATGTGGGCGGCATGGTGACGGGAAAGATGGCGCAAGATCTGTTGTGGGCAGAGCCATAGGAGGAGGACACGTCCGTGGCTATGGCTAGTAAAGCGCGGGAAGAGGTAGCCCCCAAGGCGTCTGGGGTTGCACATTTTCATCCGCGAGTCGATTCCGCCAGCAAGCTATAGGCCGGTGCAACGACATTTCGATCACAGAGCGGAGATGGGGCGGGCAATGGGTAGGAAAGGCGGCGGTGATAGGGTTAGGGTTGAAAGGGGACACATTGTCATCGGACTTTTATACGCACAAACGGAGAATGGAATCCAAACATGGATGGGGAAGCAACCTCAATGGACAAGGGAAACAAAATATTCTAGATACGAAGAAAAATTAAATTCCACTCCGTTCACCAGACTTGGAAACATTTCTTATATGGAAGCGAACTGCATGGCCCGTAATTAGATGTATCACTAACATTATAATAATCGAGATTATAAGAAATAAATTATCACATGATTGTTTTCTAAAATACAGTGCTTTCGTTGAAAAAATATAATGTTTTTTGGTAATAAATAATATCTCATCGATAAAAAGTCCATATCGTAGCAACGGTCTCATCAGAAGAAAAAACTGAAAGCATTTGAAAGAAAACCTTTTTTAAGGCAGAAAATTATATGTCCTACAATGTCAATTTTCTAGAATTATTAGTCTCCTTATCACCAAAAATTAGTTTCCTAAATATAAAAAAATAGTTGATTTGATTTTCTAAATATTTATAGAAATATTAAGAAATTTCACATAATCTATTTTATCATACTCCATTTTTTGGAAACTATCCATGAAAGATGTGGGCCAGTCTCACTCATAATCAAGCGACATACGGGCTACCATGCGATGGCTTGCTACTGATTTGATAGGAACCTAGTGATCAATAATCCGATCCCTAAAGGTTCCCTTATTTATATTGAACTCTTTTATTTCATACTAACTATACTCGTCATAGTTGTATATATGTCATATATGGAAGAGTGTATCAGTAAGAATGACACTTACATAAAACTATATAAATATCTGTCACTACAAATGCATGCCGGTGTATTAGATTTGAATACATTTCAACATATTTTTGTGTAAAAATAATTTGGGTGCTTAAAATTATTTTAGCTATAGTGAGGATTTCTCCAAAATCTAAGCAAAAAAATTGCTTTATTACATAAACTAATTTATGCTTCCTATAGGTTGAGTTTAGCATTGCGCTGGATTACAGTGATCCTACATGCATAAATATGTTTTGCCTTCCTTTTTTAACCTTATGTGACTAAGTTTTTGTAGAAGATTATAAAATGAGCACAACACAACACAACAAGGTTCAACAATATCAAAACTAAACATTATTGTATTGTAGTGTAATACATTATTGTGTATTTATGTGTTCTCTTGCTGATAGTATTCTTAATTACCTACTAGATTTGGTCGAGTGTTTCAACCGTATAATTTGGAAAGATAAAGGTTGGTAGATGTTTCTAGAGTACAAAGCTATCAAGTTTCGAGGTAGTTAAGTAGATATTGTAGAACGTATGAGTTGTCAGCAATACTGAACTTATGTGGTTCAAATGTGTAGTTGGTCAATCTTCAAAACCAATAGACACATGTTGCACGATTTTTGTTATGTTTATGCATAATTGGAAGGGCTAGAGTAAGCATGCCTTTTATTCGCGACAAACCAAGTTGTACGAACAAATGA